TATATATATATATAAACTGGAAAATGACATTTCAGTCCCTGAGAAACTATTTGTGGCAATCATTTATAGGAAATCAAGTATTTTGCGATTTTAGATAATGAAAAATAATTAAAAAATCAAAACCATAGGCTATACGCTTGACATTTTAAACAGACCTGACGTTCAGAAACCTCTCCAAGTAACTAAATTTATTCCCTAGCTTTTGCTGTAGATCTAAGTTCTAGGCTCAGATACTAATTCCAGTTTTGCTGGCAGAAAAAAATGCAATGTAACTTAATTTTGTAATTAACACATATGCTTTAATTACCTTTTCATATGGTCTTACTGTTTTGATGTCAAAATGAGAACTATGCAGTTTCTCTTGCTGTTTGCTGACTAGCAAAATGCAAAGATCCAACATGTACAGTTTGAGTTGACTTCAGAATTTCTCCTTTTTTCCTGACTAATGAAAAAGCATCACACTCTTCATGGGGCAAGAACTGCATTTAATTTAGGGTTCTCTTTTCAATTTGTTTGCTTAAAAATAGATTGAAGTTCAGACTAAAGATAACAGTATGCTGGCAACTGCTCAAAATCAATTTTCCCCTCTGTTTTTTTCAACAGGTTATCAACTGAATTTGCAAACAGCTAGTTCATTTAACGCAGCAAATCATGCCAAAGAATGTGAAATTTATTTTGGGTTTTTTTCTCCCTGCTCGTTTTCCAGGGAGGATTTTCTTTACATGTAATTTTGTTATCCAGGCAGAAGAGGGCAAACATGAGCATAACTACTATAATCTAAATTATTTTTCTAATTTAAATCTTGGAAGTCCAGCACTAAGGTTTTACAAGCCAGTCATTATCTTGTGAATTACCTGAATAGTTAATTTGATTACGTATTTTCTCCCTTTATTCTTAAAAGTTGATTGCTTAATGTATCTAATACAAATCAAGACTAATGAAAAACGATGTAATTTGGCTCTGTTGAAAATTTTAATACCCAGAACATACGGCTATAAGGTTGGCAGGGTGTAACGTACTAAAAGGACTCCGATGACCTGACTTTACTGGAAGGCATGGGCTATAATAACACTCACTTCAACTTAAGAAATATTACTGAGGAGGCAAGAAATGAGAGGATTTCCCTCACAAACTTTACATTATGCTTACACATGATTTTCTCTCTCAAAGTGTGGTTATTTTGAACCAGTTGAACAGAACAGGAAAAATCAGTAGAAAAGTGCAGAATAAAACTGCAGCATTTGGAACAGTTTTCCTCTGCCCGCAAATCTTGGTTAATGAAAAGTTGCAGGACCTACTAAAACGAGGCAAACAGCCTTCAAAACAGTCTACCAGAAAGAAATCTCCTGCTTAGAGAAATCAAAGTGCATGGTTGGCTATGAAATTCAAAACACACTGTTGTGTGTTGTGTTGGTTCTGGTTTCAGCTCTCAAATGTCTTGGTGTGATATCCCAAGAATATCTGGCTTAGTTCAGGTTAGATATAAGAAAGGAATTATTTACAGTAAGGGTGGCATGGACACAGGTTGCCCAGAGAGGTGGTGGAGGCTCCATTCCTGGAGACATCCCAGGTCAGGTTGGACGGGGCTCTGAGCAACCTGATCTAAAGACGTCCCTGCTCACTGCAGGGGGTTGGACCAGATGACCTTTAAAGGTCCCTTCCAACCCAAACCATTCTGTGATTCTATAATTCTAGGAGCTGCCTCATGTTATTTCCAAATTAACAAAGGAGGAAAGTCAGAGTTGACCCCATGTTGTGGCCAGAGGGAAGCCCCTAGACCCAAGAGACCTGAAGGCTCTTCCCGAAGAAAGTCAACAGACTGGGGATTAGTGACGAGTTTCTTACCGCGTCTCCACTGTACTGCTTTAAACAGTGCAGGAGGCGACAAGTGTTCGCCAGCCAAAACGACGTCATCTGAAAATCATCGTTGTGTTTCTGGAGGGGCAAAAGTAAAACACATGAGACACCCCTCTTCAGTGGGGACAGCAAGACAAAGTGATTTTAGGCCGCCCCACCCAGAATCAGGAAGCTTGCTCTCTGCAGACAGGTAGTATCAGTCATTTGTAAATACTTTTTAAAATATCTGTAAATGCAAGCAACTCTGTTGCTAAGTTGTAATTCTCCTTGTTCTGCTAATAAGGCAAGCTAGAAGAGTGATTGGTTTTGAAAATCACTACAGGAGCTGAGTATCACACAGTTTGACCCGGCTATAACCACCTTACGCCATCTCAACCCTATGACCAGAGGAAAGGGACACCTACCTTCAGCACTTTCTTAATGCCGTTGATGGTGGAGGTGAGCAAAGAGTGCACCTTCTGGTCGTCACTGATGTAATCCGCGTGTCTTATGCACATGTAGAGGATGTAGGCAGGAAGGCAGGGAACCGTGGCAGACACTGTCTGGGGCTTGAGATCTAGAAGGTTTGGTGTTTGTTAAAAATGTCTTCTTAAAATTCACCAACTGCCAAGTGCAGTGGGGAACACCAGAGCTGGAGATGTGCTCGGGCAAACCCCTTTCCCCCGCCAGCCCTGGGGAAGCTGAGATTTTGGCTCTGCAGCTTGCACCCCTCTCTGTAGCATGGACAGAGAACCAGAGGTCGACTGAAGGACAGATGGACCTGCTGGAGCCAGACAAGGCAGAAGAACTAGAGCGCCAGGGCTCGGGATGGTACCACTACCTGCACTGAAGTGCGTGACACTACCACGTCACACCTCACAGATGCACAGGTAGCGCTAGATCTTCTCTACCACATAAAAGCCTACGCAATCAGCACACAAATAATCTTAGGAAAGGTCCCTGAAGCTCTCAGAAATACCTCCCACAGGTTATAAACAACACCCCCCCTCTTTCAGTTCACAATGTAATGAATCACTCTCTCCTCTCAAGCTACCGAATCTGCATGGCAGCTGTGGGAATCTGCAGCCTCTAAAGAAAAAGTTTCTCTGATGAGGGGACCACAGCAATGGGATCAGCAATGCTTGTACCACACCCTTTAGATCCTCACCAGTCTCTGCTGGGGATAGAGAGTGACGGTAAATACTAACACTCAGCCAGGGAAGTGTGACTTCTCTAAAAGCACTGAATAAGGGGATGCTGCAGCAATTCTGGTCACACCTTCCAGCGCAGAAGAGCTCACAAGTTTATTATCCATTGCACTTAGCACTGAATGTCTCAGAAACCAAACTACCTTTGTTCCACTGCTGAGCGAAATCCCTGGAGTCCGTCCTTTCCTATTCCCTCCCCTTCTATTACCACGTCATATGACATTCAGCCAGTTACTGCCTGCTCTAGAAACTGGAGTTTCCTTTTGCATCTTCCATTTCTTGCTATCCCTAAGGATTATATTCATGCTGGTCTATCTGCTTAGTGCTGTGCTGCTCTACCTACCAGAACTGCCATTCACCACAAAATGCGGAGCCCCAGGAGGGATTAATTTAAGAAGACCTGTCTGTCAGTCTTGAGATCTCAAGTTTACAAACTCTCGCAGGCAAGAGAAGGAGGAGCCAGGAACAGAACCAGGGCAAGTTCCTCACCTGTAATGAGGTTTCGAATGAGGAGTGGCTCATCTTCTTTATAATATTCCAACATGCCCTGAAAATCTTTCTCCTTCCTCTGGACAGTAACTTGCATGTTACGCTCATGCTGCCTCCTCTCTGCTGGCACCGTGGCTTGGGATGCTGTGAAAAACGCATGAAAGGTGGTACGTGGTCATAGAAAACCAATCACATCCTCCACTGGCCTTAGAGCAGGTCAAAGTATTATATGTTACACTTCCAATAAGGTCATCAGCTTCGAAAAACTTATAAAAATATCAGGAACCAGGGCTTGAATTACTGACTAGCAGCACTTCCGACTCTGAATGGAAGAAAGACTGCAAAAGTTGGGTCTAAAGAGGGAAAAATTAAGCCGTTTTCCACTTTCCAAAGACCGACAGGCTAGAAGCTAGTAACCCTACAGAAAGCTTTTTAGCGTATCATTTGCACAGAGCAGGAAAAAGATATCCAGGCAATGAAAAATTACCTAAGCGTCACATCCTGTGGCTGGCTGTAAAGCTGAAGAACTGCAGTGGCACACCACTGAACACTGGGCTTCCATAAAAGTTTAATAAAACAGGAGAGCAGCGTGCAAGTACCGCAGGAAAGAGCAGCCGGCTGCATGTAAATCACACCGACAGAGACCAGCTGTGCTAGCTGTGGAAACCCTCCAGTTAGTCAGCTTAATTTCACTTTATGCCTCGTTTCCAGAAATTAGCTCACGAGAAGAGGGTTACGTCATTAATCACTGCATCTCCAGAGAATGGGAAGCTCCTTCTAAACAGCACAGATGTCACATTTGCGGTGTTTCCTGATCAAGCAGAATACACGTACGTATTTTAATCCTAAGTGGTTTTAATTTCCTCTCGAAACTGCCAGATCAGCAGCTGCCTGCCAATCACTGGACTCCTCATCTCTGCTTCAGTGACAGCAGCAACAGCAAGGAAAGCAAAAAGGTTTCTTACAAATACCCTCCAAACCAGGGGTCAGACGAATACCTCCAGGAAGCACTTGCCCCCCATTACTTCGTGGATTATCTTCCAAGTTTGCCATGTTTGCCCGTGTTAACAAGCTAAAGCTCCAGCAGCACAGCTGTACTTGCTCAGAGGCAGCCTAAGCATGACCCAGGACATTCACATGGACTTTGGGATCCCTGCTGTCGTGCCAACAATGAGCTCAGTACTAGTTCAATGTGCCAGAACAAGAAAAGTCTCACTTTAACAGGAAGAAAATGAGAAAAGCCTGCAGTTCTCCCAGGCTGGCCAAAGAGGCAAAATCAGAGCACTGTACCCCCAACCCAGTGCCTACCAAGAGCCAAGTCACCTTCAAAATCTTGGACCTTCCTCATGTAAATCTTCAGTTGCTTCTTTAGCTTCTTTTCATTCTTTTCCAACTTCTCGAGCAACTCCTTCAGATCCTGAAAAAACAGAAGATGCACTGGGTTAAAAAACCTCCATATTGAACCCAAGAACAACTCATCTGGGGTGAGTTTGAGGCTGGAGTCACTCGGCAGCCTGGTCTATGCACCACAGCTGCATGGCGTGAGCATCCTGGTAGAAGAGCCTTGTTATTTCTGAATTGCTCAGACAAACCCTTACTTACACCACAAGGATTGTGGATGTAGCCAAGAGCGGGCAATACTCACAAGACACTATTCCTGTTACTCCTGTAAATCATATTTAAAACATTTCCAACACTACGTAGATAATCAGATGAGTTGAGAAAGGCAAGAAGCCCTCACCTGAGCTTCAGAGGGGCCAATGTCCACTCCAGACCGTGCACACAGATACAAGGGGTGAGAAATGGAAAATTTCTGAGCAGGCAGGCCAACTTTCCAGGGCAGTAACTGCCCCTCCTCCCCACTTCCAATAAATGCAAATGAGAAGAAAGGATTGTAAATAATTACAGAGTACAGGGGTCCCTGGCCATCCCACCTGGTAGGCAGTGCCACAAAGTAGATGAGCTTAAAGAGGATAAAAAATAAAGCACCTATGGAATCACAAGAGTCATACAGCCACTGAGCAATAGTTCAAGGCCAAGTACCAACGCTCCCAAAAGCTCCAGTGGGAGATGCTGAAGGATCTTGCAGAGTTTAGGAGGGATGGAAGAGACCCCAGTGCCTTCTCCTCCCCTTCACATTTCCTATCTCCTTTCTCCCAACCTGTTTCTATATCTTCCTCTTCCTTAGGTTGTGTTTTCAGTACGGTCTCTTACCAGATTTTCATTGGTGAGACGTGTGATTTCTTGCTGAAGTCCAAACTCCACCTGGGCCTCTGGAGACAGCTGCAGGTTCTGCAGGAAAGCCTGCTGCTGCTTCTCCAGCTCTTCTTTCATTAATTCCACCTGGTTCTTCAGAGCTTCTACCTCCTCCTCATGCTCTCTTCTCTGATCCTGGAGCTGTGCTTCCAGCAACCTAAAAAAAAGCACCATGCCCATCAGCCTGTGATTTCAGCACTGTGGTAGTAACCACCACTTGAGTTTAGACCCTGGGAGATGGTCCCAGTCAAACTCCCTATAAAACTGACAAACACAAAGGGGTGCTAGGGCTATTATTGCCACATTAGTTTGTCACTTGCTATACTGCAGATTAAATGCCTTTAAAATTAGAGACGTGAGATCAAAAGTTTGATTTTTTTTTCCTTTTTAAATAAAAGGGGGAAAAAAATCCAAGGCATCCCTTTTTTTCTGCAACTTATCACAAATTTGAGTTCCTTTACTCTTCCCTTAAGCAAAAAGCAAATGCACGGGAAGAAAGCAGTGCAGATCAGTGCCAGTGGGTTTTTCAAAGCCTCAGCTTTCAGTGCATTTGTTCTTGTGCTCATCCCCTTTCAAACATCAGTTCTTACTCTTGAAAATGGAACCCTGTGTCTTGCAAATGGCTCTGCTGGGTTGGACTGCCACAGGCTTCCTTTGCTACTGCTGGGAATTTAAAAAAACCAGAAGTCGAAACACTTAATTCCTTCTAGTTGTTTGTAGAGCTGTTATTTATCTTTGCTTAAAAAGAAGTATATTCATGTGTATCTCAATTTTCATTCATAAACTGCCTGCAGGAAACTACGCACAAGGCAATTTTCTGTCATCTTGATCAGCTCCTGCTTTCATCACTGCTGCTGGCTTCACTGGGTTGAAAAAGACTTGTTTCCTTGTACTCCATGACATACAAATACTACTGCCATAATATACAGCTGACAGAAATCACCACTAACAGCCCTTCTCCCACTTTTAGGCAGGTAGCCAACGTTTTCTCTAATAAATTGTCTTGTCACCCTGTACTAACGCCCTTTCCCTA